CTCACCTTAAACACTTGAGGAGAGCGAGATGCCTAGGGGTTTTATCCCTTTACCCAAGATCTAAATAGCCTTGAGACACATAACATTGTTGACGGGCTTTGATCTTTTTTTAGTATGTAATCCTTACAAAAATACTTCTGATCCTGTGTTTTTAATCGATCTCATCTGAGATGAAGTCCTGCAGATTTTGGTGGGAAGTTTATTGTTTTTGTGACACAGCAGTTTAGAAAAAAAATTAAGCCAATCACAAATTTTCTTACACTAGGAACAGCCTTAGGAAGGAATTTTTATGAGCAGACTAACCAGTTTGTCAGTGAAAAGTACATGTTGTGTTGCCAAGTATCATATGGGGCTACCATCTGTCCTATGGATAGAAAACACCTTATCTCATGGAAATGTATTAGACAAGTAGACCTGGAATATCATGGCAGTCTGTGGTAGAGTTGAATGCCTTCTGGCCTGCCACACCTCTCTGGCCAACCTAGCTTCAAAGACTGCTTTTCCTGAGACAAAGCCTGCTCCACTGCCACACCTCCTTGCCCAGAGAAGTAATTTAGCCTGTATTTCTTTATGTATTTGTCTCTTTGTTTTGGCACTATGTATGCAATGGCTGCTGTTTTTATTTCTGAAACAAGTAGCATCATGATGCTAATGAAAGCATGTGTTGTTTCCTACTGCAGTATTTCCTAAGAGGACATCTACTTTACACAGTATGAAAATAATACATTTTTTCAACCTGGAGAGTGTTTCCTAGAGGTAACATTTCTCACATGCTCAGTGGCAAGTAGCCTTAGCAGTGAAACTCTTGTAGAAACAGAGAATCTTATGCTAAACAGGTACTTGCTAATGAGAGTATGTGCTGTCTCTCTAGGGTTGAGAAGTCTTTGCTGTATTAGGCATATCATTATAAATATAATGGAGGGGTCCATAATGGGGATGCCATCTTTTTATCAAATCCAGCTGATACTAAGGTCTTTATTTTGGTGGTACACTATGTTTAAGTTAGCATCTGTCTGCATTGCCATTCTAAACACATCTTTTCTAGAAAACATAATTTGGGAGCAAACTTTAAACCAAGCCACAAGTTCTTTGACTTTAAATAATGGATCCACTTAATATGCACACTAGAGAAAAGATTATGTCATTAGAGAAATCTTATGTGATGATGTAACAAAAAAAATATGAAGCAACTCAGAGATAAATGTGCAGGTATATGTGTGTCTGTCTTGGAAGATGTCCCTGTCTTTTGAATGTTTTGCATCTTTAACATTCTTCATTTCAAATCTGTGTGTAAAAAGTGGAATGTGATAGTGTGCAATATATAATTATAGGTGGCATGTGTCCCATCACAGTAGAGAGGAAGCAGCCTTTATATATGTATGTGATACTGGTGCATGATTACCTGAATGAATATATGAATGTGTGAGAGAGGGAAAAGGGCTCTGAAACCACATAAAACTGTGGAGCACTGAGCTGTTGGTCCTGATAATTTCTCCATGTCCTACTGTTAGCTTCAGTGAGATAGCTTCTGATCTTAGGGGTTTTGCTGGACCAAATACAGAGTGGCTAATATTTCCATCATTGCTTCCAGTAGAAAAGGAATTTTCATATGGGTAATCACATGCTATTGTATTCCACTGCTCTTGCCTCACCATTGCAGGATAGGCATATCCATCCTTAAGGCACACTGCATGTATGCAGTGACAGTGCTACAGGGCAAATCACAGCCCATCCTGTGCTGATTGTCCTACCTACAGGGGCACACCCTACTGCATTTGACCAGCCTGCAGAGCCTGGCTCCTGCTGCTACCTAGCAGTGTAGGCTCATGGTATGAGCCAGCAAGGATTGCACAAGCATTCCTGCAAAGTGGTGATGGAGCTCTGTGTCTGACCCTGCCAAGTGGTGCCCGCGTATTATCCAGGGCTCTCAGACAGCTTGTGCTGGGGCTTCCCCCTGGCAGCCTGCCTGCACTCAAGGGAAGGGTGCTGGGGACAGAGGCTGGGGAGAGGAGAGCACATCATGCCCACAGTCCTTCTGGGAACTGCTCTCTCACATCTTCTCTTGGTGAAGATAAAAACAGTACATACAGTACTGAGCATGTGTCGTGGGAAGTGACAGGGAAAACCTCTCAGACTATGAGCATAGCTTCAGTCTTGGAAGAAGTCTGACAGGACAGAATCACAGAATATTCAAGATTGGAAGAGACCTTCAAGATCATGTAGTTTGACTGTCAACCCAGCATCAGTATAATCACCCCTAAACCATACCTCCAGGTGCCACATCCAGACTCCTCTTGAACACTTGCAGAGATGCTGGCTCCACTGCCTCCCTGGCCGACTTATTCCAATGTCTAACCACTCTTTCATGATAAAAACTTATTCCAATATCCAATTTGAACCTCCCCTGGCACAACTCAAGGCCATTTCCTCTCATCCTTTCACCTGAGACATGGCAGAAGAGACCACCCCCCACCGCACTACAATGAGGTCGTGAGAAGTTGTGAGGTCCCCCCAGAGTGTCCTCCAGACTAAACAACTCCAGTTCCCTCAACCACTCCTCATAAGACATGTTTTCTAGACCCTTCACCAGCTTTGTTGCCCTTCTTTGGACATAAAGGAGGACAAAAACAAAACCCTGACCCTACAAACTGCAGTGGAAAGATCAAGATTTCTTCTTCTCTGTAGCAGAAGGGATCTTCTGCAGTTTGCTGCTCTCCATCACCATCACCAACTTGGTGACTTGATGAGTTTCAACGTCAAAATGGTGTGGCCTCTAAAAAGTTGTCTCTCCTTCCCCAAACCAGGGCTCAGTTGTGCACAAAGCCATAATTTAGCTCCAAATGTTATTCTTGAACTCATAATTAAGTATTTATAGCCTCTTAAATTTCAACCCAGATGCAATCTGATAATTACTCAGTGACTACCTGGTTAATAACTGCTGTGCAATTAAGATCTTGTAGCCTGGTCATTTGTACATACAGCAGGATAATAAGGTACCCCTAAAATGTGGATTGCTGTTGTTTTAGCCATTTAAATTTCATTCTTGATAATTCTGTTAGGGGCATACTAATGTCCCTTTTCAAGAAAGAAACAGAAAGATATGATATACTTTCTAGTAATTATTGTAAATATTGAATTTAATTCAAATATTGTTTGAATGTGATTTAGAAAATAAAATGCAGGCTCAGCTGAATGATGGTTTGTAAAGCAGAAAGAATGAAACTCCAAGGACAAGTAAAAGAACTCTTAATTTCTTTTCCAGCTAAAGAGATCTTGATTTCAATAGAAGTTTTGCATGAGTAAAGATTTGTCAAGATTAGGACTCTCATCTTTCTGAAAGCAGTCCCTCTTGAGGGATGTTTTAGGATCTGTGCAGAACAATAGCACAGAAGAATGACAGTCTGATCCAAAACTCATTGAAATCAAAGTTGATATTTCCATTATTCAGAAGAAGATTATATAGTGATGTACAGGAAAATGTCAGGAATTATTCCGTCAGCCTTCACAGGAAAACATTCAGTTGTAAACATAATGGCAACCATTATGTTTATAGTTTGAAGAACAACAGCTCTTTGTTTTAACACATTATTAGAACAAAAGTATATACATTTTCCTTTTTTTTTCTTGAGGATGGTGAAACAATTACTTTAAATCATTCTGAGTGGAACAAAAAGATTTCTATAATTCAATAATCTTTTGCATGAAACAGTTTTGAGGTACACTGTGATTTTTATCAAAACTTGTAAAATTCCTATATGAGTATTTTTCACATTTACTGATGAATATTTTACTCATTTACTCTTCTTCTTATAGGATACTTTTAAGAAATTAATTATAAAAATTATATCTTTATTAGTAATCTATATTCTAGAGCAACAGAAATAGAACTCAATTTCACATGTTAAGACCATATAAAATTTTGATCTTCATTACATTTTAGAGTAGGTATGACTGTTTTTTCCTTTTAAGTGAATGCTTTTTAAATAGCTTAGCTAGATGTTTGGCTTTAAATCATTGAATCTTAGAATCATAGGATAGTTTGAGTTGGAAGGGACCTTTTAAGGATCATGTAGTCCAACCCCCAAAATAATTACTGCAGGAATGGAATTGGCCAGCTGCATAAAAGGTCTGTTTTTCACTTTCAGCTTTCCCCAGAGCTAGCCTTTTATTCTCTTAAAGCTATGTGTCTAAGAGACTTGGGATTAGATTGCTTTGAGATGCCCATTTTGACTTTGAAGAGGCTTGGGTTTTCAAGGGGGCCAAAAAGTTACCTGTTCTCTGCCAATCCACCATCCACCAGATTTCTCAGACGAAGTATCCAGAAGCATAAATCCCATTAAAGGTATAGGCTGAATTCTGGCACTTCTGCAGCTGAAAGAATATTTTCATTGCAAAATTGAACTACTGCAGATACATAAATCTCAAGAGATGGGGTAATGATCATTTAAAGATGTTACTTTTCCAGCTGTCTGTCCATGCTGCTAGCAGCAGTTACCATTCTCCAACAGAGGCAACAGAATGGGAATTGCTCAGTGCAGCACACGCAGTCTTAATCTGCTGTGGAGTGTTGTCTAGTGGAGTATGAACTTTGTTTTGAACTACTGTGAGTAGTTCAAAACACTAGTAAGGATGAAATTATGCATCACATTGGAGCATTAACTCTGAAACTTTGCAATTATTCAACTTGTTCACTGTCTCATTGCTAGTCTGGATGTTGAAAGTATATAATATATATATATATACACACCATATATATATATATATACACACCATATATAGACTGGAATACAAAGGTCTGTCTGTATTATGAATTTACTTGCAAGTCCTTTCTTCTAATCTCTTGCCCACTGACTTGCAAGGCTTGGGAAAACCCTTCTACTTTATTTGTTCAGCTTCCATTCCCCATTGCATCAGGCTGCAAGTTCCCAACCCCCTCGTTCTCTCTGATTTGCTAAAATAATTACAAAGAACTTATCTTTATGCCCACTCTTTCCTTACAGCTCCAGAAACAGCTGTCTGAGCTGGACGAGGATGACTTGTGCTATGAGTTTCGTCGAGAACGTTTCACCGTCCATCGCACTCATCTGTATTTTCTACATTACGAATACGAGCCTGCTTCAGACAACACCGATGTAACGCTGGTGGCGCAACTTTCGATGGACAGGTAGGGAAAAACCTCTTGTTCATCAGGAAATGTGAGACAGTTAATGTTTTCTTACAGAGAAATCTTACTGTGTAATGCTTTGGTGCAAGAAAAAATGAGTTTTTGTAGAAAGTTGTATGTTGTATTGTAAAGACCTTTCTTGCATTAGGAGTAGTGCAGGTAGATACGTATCCAGACATGTATCCACACATGTATCCAGACTTCAGTTCTGCAGTGCACACATGAGTCTGAGTAGAGTTCATGCAGGGGTTGCTACTTGTCAGGATTGTCAGGTGTTACTGGTGTATGGAGTTTTGCAGCAACATATTAAAAATAGGAGATGTTTATAATAGAATTTGGCAAACAGTTTTAACTGCCCAAGTTTTTACACATGGTATTTCCTTGTTTTGATTTCGCTGGCATTTTCCTTGCAGAAAATTTCAATTAGTGATTTTTCTTATAGTGAAAATCAGAACTAAACATTTTAGTTTCAAATTAGGAAGTCAAAAATTATACTTTTTTTTTTAAAGTGATAGTGTGAAATGAAAAATCTCCATTTGAGCAAATTCATTGCCTCTTTATACAAATGTTGATTTTCAGAAGTGCATTTCAGCTTTTAATTCTGTTGTAAAGTGGAATTTAATTGGTATTTCATTTGGGGGGAAAAATTCCATTTCATGACGAGTTCCACCTGCACCTTTCTGATTTCCATCATTGCAATTAGTTGTCATTTTTCAGAAACTCTGAAACTGAGGTCTGGATCAGCTAGCTTTGTGAAACTTTGGAACTGTCAGTCTCAGGTTTTTTCTCCTCCAGCTTCTCAGTTCGAATTTAGTCCAAACTTTGTAGTTACTGCTGTCGGAATGTGTTACAAAACAAATCAGAGCTCCTTGAATATTAGCCAGAAACTGGTTATTTCCTTTAGTGTAGCACATACAGAATACAATGTGACCTGTGAATAACACCGCTGCTACACTGGTAGAAGGTCAGCAGTATTCCAGGAGGATTATGAGAATTGAAATCAACAAAACATTTACAGCCTGTTTTAAAAATAAACAGAAATGAATGAGGAGTATTCTGTTCCACAGGTGCCTCAGCACTGCATCCTGCACATTGTGTTATGATTTGCTATGTGCATCAGTGTCTGTTCTATTGATTTTTAATGGAGGAAACATTTCTTAAGTGTTCACAAACCTTTGAGTAAAAAACTGAAATAAATTAAACCAGACCCTGAGCGAGTGCCACAGTAAATTAGTAAAGCTGGTGTGTGCACATGGTGTATTTTCCCCCCAGAATTTAATTCAAAAGAATGAGCTGGGGCTTAGTGCTGATTCACTGGCACTGATGCAAAGTCTGAGCATCTGTTTCCCTTTCTGGATCCTCAATGGGGCACATGTTTTTATTGATAGACAGAACCACACATTTTTATGCAGGAAGAACAGCCATCCTGATACTGTGCAGGAAAAATCTTCCCTACTTCGCTGGTGTGTTGCTATAAATTATTGATTTGAGTTGGAAATAATTTCTTTCAGCTAAAATCAATAAATAATATCCAACCAAAGAGCTGTTTAGCTGCTTTGTTTTCTTCCACATCTTTCAGTTACTGCCTTACTTTTTTTTTTGTCTTCTTTAAAACACTTTTATTAAACTCCTCCAGCGCAGCTGTTAGACATTTAAGAATAGTGTCTCAGATGTAAGATGACATGTACATAAACAATGTGCTGTACACTACATTCCTGCACTGTTCTTTGAAATTATTATCTGAGATGAGGAAAAGCAAAAAAAGAACTCCCAGCATCTCCAATTAGAGTCCTCCTGGATGAGGCTGACATGACTATCATGACAGACTTACTTTTGCCTGTCCTATAGGCTTGGGGAATGGAAGAGAGGGATGCAGCTTAGGAACTAACATTGTCTTTAGATGGAAGCTTTGAGACAGACTTCATTCAGTGTTGTTCATTACTGGTTAGTTGTCATCTTTTATACTGATGTGGCATTCCCTTGAGTAATGGCCGAGTAGCATCACTATGGTTTTCCTGTTTTGGCTAGGCAGCCTTTTTAGAGGCTTGGTATGTACCTGGGGTTCAGAAATCAGAGTAGGAATTACCAAAATGTCAGGTCAGGAAGGGGAAAAGACATGATTAGCAATACACTGCTTGGAACCTGTGTGAGAATGAGCTGGAAATCAGTTGAGTATTCTTCAGAAGAAAAATAAAAGCCATGTCACAAAACAATTGAATTCCAGCAAAATTAGCTGAAACAGACCTTTAAAAAAATTACCAACTAAATCATGGTCTCATTATTATGCAGTATATCAGTACATTTATTTTATCTTGAGTCCTTAAGGGAACACATGCCTCAAGACTGCTAAAAAAACCCAAAGTAAGTTGGTCATGTTGTGCTTAGAAGCTCATAATTCTAAGTTTTATGTTCAAATGAGACTGCTATAACAAGCTACAGAGAGCAGATTGTGGACCATCACCTAGCATATAGTCCCTGTATCAAACTCATGGAAGTGGAGCCTGTCAATCAGAACAACACAGCAAAATGGAATGTTCTGAAGGGTACTAAGCTGTCCAGCCGGAAATTTATACCCAGTTTCACTTAGCTATCACGAAAAGCTTTGCAGGCATTATCAGGTGTGCTGTTTAAATAAGTTATGTGTGCCATTTGTCCACTGCGTGGAGTCCTTAAAAGGCAGTTTGCTGCATTTTTTACTAGGCAAGTATTCCATTTTTAAAAGGATGCCCTAAATCTGAGTGCTGGTGGATTGGAGTCTCCTGTTTAATAGGTTTTCACTATGTTGGAAAAAGGTAAAAAAGAGAGAAAGTATTTTTATGTATTTATTATATGTGTAATTAAAAATCTAAAGCCTTCACATACTTTTTCAATTTTTTTTTTTGTTGATTTGTGTTTCGAATTTGTCTGTATGTTTCAGGTTGATAATAGCCTTTGTTTCAATAATAGTTAAGAAGAAAGTAATGTACCAGCTGTAGACTAGTAGAGGCAGTATCTCATATCTAAGAAAAAATTATTTTATCACCTTAGATGTCTTCATGATAATTCAGAAATGCAGGGAAAAGCTATTAATGTTAAGTCAGACTGTGTGTTTACTGGTATGAATATATCATTCCTTTCTTTTGTAAAGCTTAGGGAGATAATAGGAAGGGGAAATTATTTTCTCTGATTATGATGATGCAGAAAACTTTTCTTGTGTTTTATATAAATATTAATAGGAACAATCGAGTAATGTGGATTTGGAACGGAGAGAAGATAATCATTTTGCATAGTCTACTCTTCCTAATTTTTAATAGAATATCTGGCTAGGCTGCATAGGTTCATTTCCCTTTGTATTAACTCAAGAGGCTTTGTAATCAGTCCTTGCTGTATTTTTGGGTGGCACATCTCAGTCTCTAGGCAGTTGTCTATAAATTACCCAAAGTGCTTAAACGATTTGGACCAGGCTGGGTTTGATTTATGTTTACATATGAAATCTTTTGTTGTCATTTTCATCAATAGTGTTGTAAGTCCTGGAATTTTTTTAAAATATACATCAATACAACCTGTTCTAAAAATAATTTAATGAAATTTGAGATACTGCTAAAACATATACAAGTTAGTAGTTTTAATTATGGTTTTGTCTGAAATGTTCTTTTGATATGCCACAGCAATGCCATGTCTGTCCTTCCTTCCCTCCTTACTCCCTATTAAAAGTAAATCCCATTCCTATCAATGTGTCATCCTTTTGCCCTCTCCCTGATAGTGAGTCTTCTTCTAGTTGATGTAAATGTTCACGTAAGTCAGTATTCCCTTGGCTTGTGACTTTTAACAGCTTTTGAGATCTGACTAACTGCCTTACAAAAATTTGGAGAAGGTTTTCCTAAACAGGAGGTAAAATGATCTGTGGGTCTGTACGCCTCTATTCTCCACAATTATATATATGTTTTTATAGAACAATGTAGTATGTTACTGTGTGAGAATAGGTTGACCTGAAATGTGAATTGGGCACTAGGCACTGTTGAAGATTATGAGACCCCTATTCTGTGAGTAGATCCACGTGGACAGATCCCTGCAACTGCTCGAAGCTCCCATCAGATACCTGGGTATATCATCATCCATGTGGGTTTTCCTGCAGCATCAAATCTTTAGGCAGAAAACAGTGGTGCTGATTTCACCAAGCTTTGGGTATCTGAGCTGTGGATGTGTTTGTCTGAGCCAGGGCCATCTTAGGTTCCCTTGGATTCAGTGAAATAGGCATATCTGTCCAGGAGGCATCAACTTGCCATCTTAGATGAGATGATTTGTGCTATGGAAATATTTATTGTTTTGCACAGCATATAAAGTTGTCCCTACTCTGTCTCAGAGGATATCTACGTTTGATCAGGTGAACCCAGGGAAAGAGTCCCTCACAGGGTGATAGTTTTTCTTATTCTTACCCTTCCTCTTTCAGGCTCCAGATGCTTGAGGCCATCTGCAAACACTGGGAAGGTCCAATCAGCCTGGCACTCTATCTTTCTGATGCAGAAGCCCAGCAATTTCTGCGCTACGCTCAGGGCTCGGAAGTACTGATGAGCCGCCACAACGTTGGCTACCATATCGTGTACAAGGAGGGCCAGTTCTATCCTGTGAACCTGCTAAGGAATGTGGCCATGAAACATATCAGCACACCATACATGTTTCTGTCCGACATTGACTTCTTGCCCATGTATGGACTCTACGAGTACCTCAGGTAAATGGACTATGGAGCAATTCCCACTGTCACCTGCAATTTCAGCCTTTCCACACCCCACCCTTCTCACATACTCTCAAAACAAAGCAATTTGAGCAGATCTGAAAGAGGCAGCTTGTAGGGGTTTGAGGTGTGAGAATGCCCAGCAAGGCACAAGAATTTTTAGAGCAAAGGAAAAGGGCTGTCACAGGAAGTCAAGCAATATGTTTATGAAAGAAAAAACTTGGGTCTAAATGTGATCCCTGTTAGCCATTAGAATAATTCCCTCAGAGCTGCAGAAGAATCAATTTGAAAATTGAACTGAACTAAGTATTATTAAATGTCCAAGAGCATCATGCATTAGCGGAGATGTGAACCAGGCGATTTCTCTAAACACCCCTCGTTCTGAATGTCAGTGACAGAAAAAACATGCAAAGAATAACTGAACTGTTGTCTATGTGACACACTCTTAATCCAGTTCCTTATCTTGAAAAGAGATTGTGAGTCTAACCAGCTCAAAAATATGACTGCAGTGCCAGCACCTGTCACGGCAAAATAGTGGGCATGAGGGAACTGGGAGGAGTAACATCAGTGTACACTGTATGATAATGCATGTGAGCAGGTTGGGCTGAGCAAACTACAGACCTCTGATCCCTTAACTGAGCTTTTTTTTAATAAAGACCTTTTTCCCTCTGCAGAGGCTGGTCATCTGAGGCCAAAGCATAGAGCAAGGAGGACACCCTGTGGCCAGACAGGAGGATGTCAGTTCCTTAGTCCTGACCAGTTTTGCTTTTTGTCTCTGTTCTAATTCAGTAAAAGTTGATCAAAGTGTTCCAGTGAGGGCCTGCTTGTAGGTGTTCCCTTTCAATTCATAAGCCCGGGGTTTTGGAGTGTAAAGGAAAATACGCCTTTTGGTATCATAAATTTATGGAGGAATTTCTTTGTTTCAGGCTTAACAACAAGGCATGTAAGGGACCAAATTCACTATATAGAGGAATGGAGCACCTCTTCTGTGAGGAAAGGATGAGAGAGTTGAGGCTGTTCAGCCTGGAGAAATGAAGACTCTGGGGAGACCTTATTACAACCTTCCAGTACATAAAGGGAGCTTATAGGAAAGATGGGGACGAACATTTTAGCAGGCCCTGTTGAGAAAGGACGAGGGGGAATGGTTTTAAACTAAAAGAGGGTAGATTTAGACAAAATTTAAGGAAGAAGTTTTTTGCAATAAGGATGGCAAAACACTGAAAGAGAGAGGTGGTAGATGCCCCATCCCTGGAAACTTTCAAGGTCATTGATGGGGTTTGAGCAACCTGATCTAGTTGAAGATGTTCCTGCTCACTGCAGGGAGGTTGGACTCCATGAGTTTTAAAGGTGTCTTCCAACCCAAACCATTCTATGTCTCTTAAGGCTCTGGATATCAATTGTATTGTTGAAGTATTACACTGTGTTAGCTTGTTTCCTTCTTAGTTTAGGGACATTTCAATTCAACTTGTGCTATGAGGACTCCAAAATAATTATTTGCCTTCCACACATTATTTATCTCTAGATACGTGTATGGAGAGCTGTTGTTAGTTTCTCTGTCTGTTGTATACTGTTGTATCTCTTCAGATGAATGCTGGACACAGTAAGGGTAGCAGCTGTTGATACTGACATTTAGTGATAAAAAAGGAACTTGCTCTTCCATGCTGCTTCACAGTGTACTGATGGGAGCCAGCAATGAAAGGAAGAAGAGAGAAGACAGAATGATGTACCACAGAATACTCGAGTTACTGCAACCATAGAAGTAATTCTTGTACGGTGATAATTGTATTACAGAACTAAATGCACAGTGATGCCACCCATGGGTGATGTTTCAGAAAAAAAAAAAAAACAAAAAACAAAAACAGATTCTCTCTGAGAGCTGTTGCATCTGAGACTCTGTGTTACTCTGACAGCCTTTTGTGAGGCCCATATCACCTTAACTCTGACAGTGACTCTCTGTTGCCTGGGAATATTGGAATTGCTAATCTGCTACTACCATCTCTTTAAAAAGGAAGTGGAATTTTTCTGCATTTGGACTAGAGACTTTTGTTGCTCTTTCAATAATGATTTTTCTAAACAAAGTAGCAGGGAGGTGCAGTGAGATTATTTTAAATATGGATACCCTGTGTCTTTCTGCATCGACTGTTCCCACTGCCTCTGCAAGTAGCTGATTAGTGCTATCTATCTGAATGGCAGCAATTGTTTTTTAGAGAGATGTACAAACATTTTCATCTTCATTTCCTCAGATAGAACAACCATAAACAACTAGAAATAGTGTGGTATTTCAGGCATCTCTTTGTACACCATGAGCCAGACAAGTCCCTCTCCCTGCGAGTTTGCTGATTTACATATACTGCATATTGTATCTCTGCAAGTAGTGTATTCTCAGAAAGAAAGGAATTTTGAAAAACATTTTCAGCATACTTTGAATGTGTCCTATGGGAAAGGTTACGGCCAGTTTTGAAGGAGAAGCTGATGGAGCTGATCGTTACCTGTCCCTTTGTGTATCTCTTGCTAGCACTTAGATTTGTGCTATTTGAGCTTTTTCACAGCTGCTAAGTAAGACCATTTCAATGTTTTTTATCTCCATCAAACAGCCTTTTAGTCCTGCCTTACTCTTCAGTGAAGTACAAAAGGAAATAAATGTATCATTTAAAGGTTTCCTGTTTATGGAACTCAGACACTTTCATGGTCTGTGCTGAGTCAACGTCTTTTGTTGCCTTCCCTCATTAGTTACTGAGGTCATCTTGTCATTGCCCCAGAGGTAAAGGCTCCTTCTAGTTGCTACAAGTAAGGTGTTAGGGTCACACTACAGTGACTTCTAACATAAAATAACTAGACAGGCTGCTTATCTACAGTTGTCACAGCTAACATTAAAGTCCTTTCCTGACACATTTGTGTAAAATATGCCCTTTGCTTCCAGTGACACAGTTTGCATGAATTGGGACCTGGCGTCCAATCTCTATGCTCAGGTTTTGTACCTGTCCCCTGCAACGTGAATTGTGAAATATTTCTGATTGCTCTTCAGCATCTCAGCAAGAGACATAGTTCAGGTTGTGCCTATTGGTTTTTATTTGCTGGTAGCCTTTGTAGGCTATGCATTCATTGCTTTTGCAGAGAGTAAAAGCATTCTAATGCATTTAACAGTGGATGGACAACTCTTTACCACAAGCTCTGTGACTGCCGTGGTTGTTATCTCCAACCAACCACTTACTGAGTCCTGATCATGGAAGCTAATTTGAATTAATGGACTCTTTTTTTTCCCTTTTTTTTTTTTTTATGGGTTCAGTGCTTTAGGATTAGGTTGCTACTTTTCCTGTGTCTGAGCTTCTCTGTCCTCCAGAAATAGGAATGATATTATGATCTGTCTCCATGAGGATAAGAATTCTGTATTAATTTTTGAAAATAAGTACAAAGACGAGAAGATTGATATCAACATGCTGCAGTTCACTCAACCTGTGAGGAGACTCTTGTGATTTAAGATTAATTTCTTCACTGTTTTGCGAAAAAGATAGTTGACTCGTATATGTAAAATTTAACTCAACCTTCACTGTGTCAGAATGACAGTCATCAGGTCTGAACATAAAGGTAATTGGGAAATTGTTTCTTGGACAACACTAGCAAGAGAGAGCTCTTCATAAAATCAAAGATCTTTATTTTGGGATTTAGGGGGAAAAGGACAGATAAAGGAAAATGAGTACTGAGTCAATATTACTAAATCCAAAAAACAGCCCTCCTAAGGATAGTGCAGGAATTACATGGTTTACCCAGTACTGGTTTGCAAAACAACCAAATCTGTTCCTTGCATTATATTCCACGTATCTGGCAACACCAACAGTGAAAATTTTCCTATTTCCTAAGTTTTCCTGGTATCACAAAACCAGTCAACCAATAAATGGCACCCCCACTCAAAACAGGAAAAAAAGTCACCCCACAGAAAATGAAAAGTTAGATTTGGTTCCAGTAGGAAGAGAGTTTGAGCTGGTTGTCTAAGAAGCAAACCATTAGCCAAGTTATCAGAAGAAAATTGAAGACGTTTTTTTCTCTACCAAGTCCTCCCCCATTTAAATCACAGTTTAAATGTCCTCTGTCATCCTTTGTCACTGAGATTCAACACCTGCATGTCAGCACTGATTCCTTCTTCCCTTTATGTTAGTCTTCTATAGTGCACATCAAAGGTGGGTGATACTACTCATAGGTCAGTGCTGCTGGACTTCCTATCTGAGCATGTCTCAAATCCCAGCTCAGTTTTGGAGAGCCCCTTCACTTTGACATTACCACCTGTACTGGGTCTTGCTGAGATGGAGTTCATTTCCCCACAGTGGCCCTCACAGTGCTGTGTTTGTCTTTGGTAGCTAGAAGGGTGTTGATAACACACCAGTGTTTCGGCTACTATGGTGCTGGCACAACAGCATCAGTGATGTCTCTCCAACACTCTACCTGCCATCAGGGATGGGCAGGATCTTGGGAGGGGGCATAATTAGGACAGATGAGCCAAACTGACCAAAGATATGTTCTCTACTGTATGACATCAGCTCAGACACAAAAGCTCAGAAAAGGAGCAGGGAGGTGGAGCATTCATTATTTACAAGGTTTGCCTTCTGGAGAAACTGCCACACATGCTGGAGCCCTGCTTTCTGGGAAATGGCTGAACATCACTTGCTGATGGCAAGTAGAGAATTAAATGTATTTTCTCTTTGTTTGTGCACACACAACCTTTCACTTTTGCTTTAGTAATCTGCCTTACCTCAACTTCTGAGTTGTTTTCCATCTTATTTTGTCTCTCCTGTCTGGGGGATTTTCTCCATGAAGGTACTGTCATCTCTTCTTTTGAACAGTTTGACCATTTACACATGTATGAAATTTGCAGGTGACAAGAGCAGGGGAGTGTGCAGAGAAGGTGGTTGATATCCACAAAATTTCTGTGGTTGAATCCCATACCTTAGAGAATAAGTCACATTCAGTACTAGTTTCAACACAGCTTCCTTTGACAGTTTCTGCTGTTATCAGTGCTTGATACCTGTGCCTGCTTCAGCTTTGGTCACCTTCAGACTGCAGACTTTTGTGGGCAGGGTTGTATGCTGCTCTTTGACAGTGTCAAGCACAGCAAGGCCTTGAATTTTGTATGAGACTTCTGAGCTCTCCATAAAACAAAGGTATAGTAACAGCCATAAATGGAAGCTGCTGTTTCCTTACAGAGCCCAAAGGGTTCTGCAAATGTTACCTGCTCGTTCCCAGAACTGAATCCCCAAAACTGTACTGCTCAAGGCTAATAGATTGCACAGAGACCAGAAAGCCTCAGATTTTGCGAAGAGAAACTGTATTACTATCCCCTGATCTCAGAGAAGGTGTGAAGGGGAAGAAGCATTTAAAAGCATCATAAAGGCTCTATACTGGCACTGTTCAACAATTCTGGAAGGTCACAAAGGCTGATTATGAAGGACTCATCTATTTAAATGCAGATATTGTGGTCATTAGTGATAGTGAAGTTAGTGAAGAAAGTACAAAACCAGTTACAATAAGATGCTGTTAACATCCTTCAGTTGTGAAAAGTTAACTGGAATGTGTCAGAGGCTCTTTTTAAACAATGCAAACTTTGCAGTAAGAAGCTGAGAACAGATTGCTTTTTATAGAACAGGCCTATAGGGTGGTATGAATTCTCTAAAATTCAGATTTTATTAAATAGTCATGCTCTTCTTTTTCTCTGACAGCAGTATAAATGAATTCTAGGTATTCTGGGCCTAGAAAAATGGTTTGTTTGGTCCTTCTGTTATTAGGACAGTGATCCCAATTCCTTCAAATTATAGGGCGGTAGAGAGAGTTTGCTGCTTGTCAACATTGTCCTTGATTGCCTGTTGCAGTAACATAAAAGTCAGGACAGTGAATCTTGTTAAGGGGAACTGACTTTGACAGGGAGAGAGAGGCATATTTCTTGTATCAACTATGAAAATAATGAAAGGAAAATTGAAACAGAGTTATTTCTAATGACAAGCCTAGTAAGATTCAGTTGGGGGATGGAAAAGTAACTTTTTCTTCTTTTAGTTTGTTAGGAAAGAATAGACTGAACAGCTCTGGCAGGCAGGGTGAGAGGTTGCTAAGCTGCTCCTCTCCCGTGCCAGTCGTCCTAAGGCCCCTGTCTGGAAAAGAGCCCTGCTATGCAAAATGCATATGTGCACACACATACTCACACACCAAAACAGTCTCTGCAGTGAACAGCTTTCAGCAAAAGAAAGGAAAAACCAAGGTATCCCGGTCTATCCAGTGTACAGCTGTACTCTGCTGGCAACAGTCTCTTTGCCCTGTTCACAGAGCCAAGCACAAGTGAGCTCTGGTCTCCAGGCACTACCATGTGCACCTTTGCTAATACTCAACAAAATACTGCTGAAAAACAGTTTTGCTGATTGGTGTCATTTCCTGTTGCAGGAAATGTGCTTTGAACAATGACAGACCATCATGGCAACAGTGTTCTCAAGAGCAGGTATCTGGTCCGTAGTGGTGTTAGGGTAACACTCACTTTGTAGGACATACAGAGGTAAAAATCAAGGATGATGGCACAGGGTAGCACAGAGAATAGCTAGGTTGAAGTGCAACCGAGCTTTCCAGCTTCTAATTTTGTAAAGGCCCACTGAGTCCTGGATAAATCCCAGTTTTTAGCACTGCCGTTGGCTGGGCAGCTCTTTCCCATATCTGTAGTAACATTCAAGTTTATTTCTCGTAACGGGGTGATCAGTTGTCCATGCTTAGAGTGCTATTTCCAATCTATGCACCCATGGACATGCAGGGCAGCAGTGATCAGTCAAACACACAAGCCCGTTTGGAACTGTGTTCTTCACCCTGCTTTTAGAGCAGCAGACCAGAAGCAGAAGAAATATGAAGTACCCCTAGGGAAAATACGGGCCACAGTTACATTTACAATATCAAACTACCCATTGTCTGCACTTTATTTTGAAAGGCCAAGTGATTTGCTCAATTTAACATTTTCCTGCTTTTATTTGTTGTTTCTCTTTGCCAGGAAGTCTGTCATCCAGCTAGACCTAGCTAACACCAAGAAAGCTCTGATTGTACCTGCTTTTGAGACCCTGCGCTACCGCCTCTCCTTCCCCGAAATCAAAAGCAGAGTTGCTGTCTATGTTGGACATGGGGACCCTCTTCACGTTCAGGTAATGGAAATTACTTTTGAACCTGTAGTCATTATCTCTATTTTTTCTGTTCTTGTGTATATTTGATTCTTTTCTCTCACTGTCACCTCCATTAAGAAACCTATTGGAATTTTTTCCCTTCTCGTAGAGAGGCAGTGAACAGAATCATATGTGGATATATATTCCATCTGTAAGGTCAGCATTTTATCTAGTATTATAGTCCTCTACTGGAGGACTTCAGTTGTTAAATTGAATTTGGTTTATTTTCATATTTTATTGCGCTACAAAATCAAGCATGACCATTACACTCAAGTGCGTGTAATTTACTTTTTGGCTGCCAAATACCGTCTGAATAGCTGTGTCTTCTCATGTGACCAGAAGTTCTGTATCTCTGCTCATTGGTTCTCTTCCTTACTGACCTACTGGAAATACAAATGCAAGCTTGTCTTATGCTCTTCTAAAGTGTGAAACAGCTGCTTAAATACCTAGAGTTTCTCTATGCAGAGGTAAAAGAGTACTCTGACTAGAAGTTAAGAAGGGTAGAACACCTAAATTTGGAGCTCTTCTCTGTAGCAGACTCCTTTTGTGGCTGTGAACAAGTCAATTCTATTATCTGCCAGACTCTTCAGTTTCAAAATGCAACTACCAGGGGTTAACCGTCTCTTGGGTGTGTGTGGTAAGGTCTGATTAGCAGAGATTTGTAAAGCATCTCAGTGATGGGAAGAGTACAATATGGCCTTATGATGTTGCACAGAGAGGGGGCTTAGGAGACCTGTGTTCTCTTCTCAGTTCCACTACTGCCCTGCTGGGAGGTGGTACACGAATCACTTTGCTTTCTTACATCTCTGTTCTCCATCTCTGAAATGCAGGTAACAATGTTCACCTCTCCTTTTTACAGTATTTTGAGATCTAGAGATAAAAGCTGTGAAAAAGCTAGGTATTATCCATGGCTGGTGGAGCTCTATATCACCTCTCCCATCCTTCTCTTACTTTAGAGCTCTCCTCACACTTTTTCCACTCCCTATATTACACACCTTTCTTGTTGCAGCAGCCACCCTTCCGTCATGTGGTGGCATGCATGTCATAGCAGACAGCCTGTGTGGGTCTGGAAAACATAATTCTGACTCTACCTCTACCAGTGACTGCCTTGAAACAGAAACTTGAGGTGACTGAGAGAGACATGCTTCTGGAAAATTACTTAAGGATACTGACAGAGCAAGTAGTTTCACTCTGCCATCAATCTTTACAGTCAAAAGACATAAAAATTAACGAGATCTGTTGATAGAAAATAATTGTCTCTCCCATAGTTGAAAGAAAAAATACTTCCAGTGGAAAATAACAACCTCAGGATTTTCAGATGTTACATTCCACCAACAGTCAAATTTTCAGTTTGCAGCACAGCAGTGGCCTTCCACTGCAGATTTCATCGTCAAGCTATACAGCATGCTGGTGTGTTACGTACACAGCCGGATTTCCAAATCCTTTCTCAAGTCTCACTCGGGCAAAAATGTCTTTAACATCAGTGGGAGTTTTGCCAGAGCAAGGTTGGTTAAATAAGAATTGAAGGACATGCAGTCTGTAGCTGGTGTACATATTAAAGTAGGACATATTTTACAAATGCTTCGCCAGTTTGTTTTGGCTCATTTCATTGCTCAAATCTATCAACAGCCACAAAGCAACTGTGATCTGGCTGAGAATTTCCACCTCCACCTTCAAGGTGCTTTAATAATGCTGCAATTCGTCGCTGAGCGGGTGGGAGTGAACTGGGGAGGACTGCTGTGACAGTGATTGCTGAGAGTGCCTGCAGCATCCCAGTCCCTCACACCACACGGTAGATTACAATCTTTCCCTTACTGAAATTGCTTTTGTCACCTCTTTTCCAAATGGTGACCTTTTCTACCTCTGGGCAGCTAAGAAGTACAAAACAGCTCTCAATTACATCCCTCAGTCACCACCAGAAGAGAAGACGTGAGCATCTGCAGCAGGCAAGGAAACCCTGTGTGGAAACCCTCTGTGACAGCAGGATGCTTTGTGCCAGCTTGCTGGCTTAGCTTGCAGGTGCTGGCTGGGAATGTGCCTCACAAGGATGTGCCTGATCAGTGCCTGGGTAATAGCGGATGAACCACAAACGTACCATCGACACACTTCCAGGCACAAGGGAAACCACAGCTGGCAGAATACACATCATCGTATTGAGAAGACATAAAAAGCAACAATTGATTAACTAATTAACTGATTGCATCCACAATCCAGCAAAATGTTTAAGCATCTGAGTACAGGACTCAGGAAGTTTTTCTTTCACCAAGTCATCTTTCTCACTATAACAGGAAGCTTAGAGGGACAATGCAGGGAGGAAGAACACTCTGAGAAGAATAATTACTTCATTTTGCTAACTTCAGCAAATTTTGCAATAGTTTTCACATTTTATTTTAAATAATGCAATCAATAATGCAAGGAAAATGAAACATTTGGCGCAAAGTGGAGAAGGAAGAGGTGTGGTGTTTTCCAGTTGTTTTCTATGAACTGTGGGAAAGAAACTCATAATCACTTCACAGAGATCGAATTATTTGGTTTGGATTTGTCAAAATATCCAGCATAGCAAAAAATATGTTGTTCACAATTTCACAAGGTTCCTTAGGGACTCGGTGAGTTTGAGTGTGGCCTTAAAATTCAGTGTGTATTTAAATCTTCAGTGGGAAGGGCCTAAGCAGGAAAATTGCATTTATTCATTTGTCCTGTGAAATGGAAGACCAGTATAGACAGGGAACCATTTCTCACAACTGCTTCACCGATAGTAAAGTCTGTTGAAACAACTCATCCTTTAATGATAGCTTCCTTTATATGGACATCCAGGTAATGGTGTCTGCTTATCTTACTTTGCAGTACCTTTCATGCAGTGATCAGCTATCAGCTGAGTCCTAGTTCCATCTGTGTCTATGTGTGTGTATATATGTACAAGCCCAGGTATATTGTATGTACAGATATGTATGTAATCCAAATTCCCAAATTCTTGTTTTCAGTCTAATTACTCCTTTATAACTAGTGTATGCACACCTCATTTGAGCATCCTGTACTCATTTTCCTTAAGGTCCTGACCTTAACCATCCTTTTGCCTTCCTCTTTCCCTCCACTCATATCAGTCACTCTGCAGAGGCAAGTAAATAATCTCTGTTGTTGTTCTCTACAATCAGGTCTGTTCCTTCCTTTCTGCTTTGTTTTCTCTGTGCAATCCCAATTCCATATTTTTCCTTCATCGTCTCTTCACAATTACTTGTTTTTCCCTGCTGCTTAGCTCTCTTGACTCACAGAGGTTGTACTTGAGCTGCTGTAAGTGCTTACACTGATATCTCCAAAAAAGGTGGGAAGAAATTGAAGGTTCTTTTGTGGTTAGTGTACTGTTACCCCCTGTTTAAATCAGTGGGAGAGTGTTACTAGAAAAACAACAGCATTTGGCTGCTTCTCTGCAGGAATCTCTCAATTAACCAAAGTTTGTATAGGACTTTGAAGATACAAATCACTTCATAAGTGTTTAGTAGTCATTATTATTATTATTATTATCATAATTAATTTCAAAATGCCGGAGGTAGGATTTTAGAAGATAGAGCACCCTCCACAGTGCTGTATCATTTTAAGCCCCTCATTGTGATTGTATTTTTTTCCCACATAGATAGCTGCACATTAGTGACTGGGTAGGTTACCCACTCATTTCCAAAAGAGGCCAAGAGAAGGGTTGGGTTTTTTGGAGATGATTCCAAAGGACATTAAGGACTGTGAGCATCTTTGTGAATCTGGCACTGCTTTCTAACAGTATCTGGAGAATTAATTCTCTATCTTTTTTTTTTTTTTTTTTAAATACAGAAGGGTTTTGTTTTTCCAGGTCCCCAAGGCAGATACCTAAAAGAGATGAAACCTGTTTACAGTTTAGAAATGAAGCCTTCAAAGAACCATATTGTACTTGGGACCCCAGTGCTATTCTAATAATTCTGTCTTCCTACACTGCCCTGAAGATGAACAGTGAGCAAAGCTCAACCACCTCTCTGTTTATCCTGTTACAAGCCATATGAACAGTTCAAGTGTAAACTCCTAGGTGGTGATTTTACGTCCCTGGTTTTAGCAATGGCTCACAATGTTACAAGAATTTCCGGGATTGAAACATTACCTCAGGTCATAATCTTGCAATATTTAATGCTCAAATACCTTCACTTTTAGCATGTGAGTCATCCCTGTGAATTCAACAAACTGGCAGGATATTTGTTTTGTCCCTTCTGTTGCATATCTCTCAGTGTTGTAAGGCAGATAACTGCTATGCCTTTGTTTCATTATTTAATCTATGAATCTGCAGAAAGAGCTTGTCTCGTTGATTTCTGGAAAGTGTTAGAATAAGTGGGCGAGAGTCATTGACCCTGGCACTAATGGGGTGGATTCAAGCCGTGCTAGGAAGAGACCTGCTGTGACCTGAACAAGATTAACGAAGTATAAAAGGATCTTTTTCTGTAAATCAAATTGATTACCTTACTCAGGTTCACATGAGTACTCCCCACAATGTAGAATGTACAGCAAAAAGCCTTTATGTCATATTTTACTTATTAATTTAATTATGCATCTTGATTCCTGCCATAATAATGGCAGTAATTAATAAATCGGAACATCTACCCAGAGCTGCAGGTGTCTCTCATGCAAATTATAAAATGTCATATAAAACAGATCATGAATGTCACTGTGGTGTAGAAATAGCTAATTTTAGGGACCTTATCTGAGCTACAGATTTTCACACTGATTTTAGAGCACCGACCGGTACAGCCGCTTGGTTGCCAGGAACGAGACACGGCACTTTGTAGTGCAGATGAATGTCAGTGTACTTTGTAATTGTTTCTCACATTAGCATGAGGTAGTGTTTTCACACCATCCTTCACTGACTAGAGGTGTTTGAGCGCTGAGCTCTGGGAAGCGTGCTGGAAATAGTCCTAGAAATTGCCTCCGATATGTCCTGAAAATGATGATGTGAACTGGAAGCTAATGTCCTTATTTTTGAGCATTTCATCTAACGAGTAACATTTTGTTACCTTGCCAAGATGCGTTCTATCTAATTGCCTCCCCACGTCCCTGCCATTTATGTCTGTTTAAGGTACCACGTCTGGACGAAAGGGCACGCGCCAACCAATTTTGCCAAGTGGCGAACAGCCACCACCCCCTACCGCGTTGAGTGGGAAGCAGACTTTGAGCCATACGTCGTCGTGAGGAAGGACTGCCCGGAGTATGACAGGAGGTTTGTTGGATTTGGCTGGAACAAAGTAGCTCACATCATGGAGCTGGATGCACAGGTGAGGAGATGACACCTGCATATCTCACCTAGGGCTGTGCAGCAGGGTTGTTAAAATGAAATCTGTGCCCTGTAGGAAGACTTCAGGCTTTGCATCACCAAAGTGCTCTCCTGGCCTTACTGAGCTCCTTAATGAGTGCTTGTTGAGTAGGGAACACTCAGTTTAATCCTTGTCAAGTATTAAATGGAGAACTGAGTCTGAGTTAATTTATTTGTCAGGGCTGAGAAAATCATTGTTTTTCAGTGACACAACCCCTGCAGTGCCCTCCTCCTGACTGAAGCATTGCAGCACTTGTTGCCAGTCCCATCAATTGCTAGGGAATCTGCAGACATAGCTGGATCTTTTTCAGTTAAACAGAGGTTGGTGAGTCCCAAATGCTAATTTAGAATTCAAAAAGTAATCCTCAATTGAATCCAAGGCAAGCATCTTCAGTCTCTGGCTGGGATTTACAGCATGTACCTGCAAAGCCAAAGTCTTTACATTTCCGAAGTCTGGGGCTGTGGAGCAGACTCTAAAGGATCCAGGTACTTGAACCTTGGGCTACCTACCTCTTGGATCTGTGACTTGGAATGAAGCTGCGGGGCAGAATTTATAAGAATACAGATGGAGAGAAAGCTCAGGAGTCCCAGACTGGCACCAGAGCTCTCAGAGCTGCCAAGATCCATGCCACCAACCTAGATCTTGGAGGCTGGCAGTGACTACGGTTCCATGGGATCCCAGTGCTGCCGCTCACTGAAATAGCAGGGTTTGCATCGGCTTGCTGTTCTTGTATTGGAAGCTAACCACTGTGCTAATCAGCAAGGTCTGGGTCATGGCATTTCTTTTTAGTTTGGGTTTGTGGTAGGTTTTTTCAGTTTGGTTTCAATCCCAGTGTTTGAACTAGTAGAATTTCATGCTAATCAAAAAAATAGTTTTTGGCCATCTGTATCCTCCTGTGATAGCTTCTGCTATGAATCTGGAATATAGCTGATCCTTCTCTGCTCAAGTCTTACCAGTTTATGTGAAGCAGAACAGCACAAGGCATGCAGCAACATCAGTGGGAGATTGTGTCTCTGGGGTGTGGGCTACAGTGTTATTTGTGTGCAGGCACCTATGTGGGAAGGATATTTTCTACTTTACAAAACTACATGGTAACCTTGGGCTGGCAGCCACTCACCCTCTGTTTGCAGAAGGGTATTCCCAACAAATTTGTTCCTACTTATGTTGAGAAAAAAATTGTCCCTTATATTAATGTTAATAATAATTTGCTATAGCACTGTAATTTTCCAGTGCACTTTCCAAACACTAATCAATTAACCATCAGTTGTGGAGAGTGCCAAGGTAATGTTTATTATTTGTTAATCTGTGTAACAAGGCTTATGTTCCCACTGGCAGCTCTCATGTAGCACTCAGGATTTAACTCTTCTGTGCAGAGACATCTGCCTAGCTGAGATTCACACGTGGGATATGGAAACATTTTTCAAAGTTGATCATAGCACAGATACTTTAAATGGTCATTGGGTTGGAACTAACTCTGGGAAATTGTTTTTCTCACTCTTCCAGCTTTGAACACATTATAACATTAGAAAAAAGTTTCACTTTCCTCTGTAGCAACAGGGGTATCTGCCTATTCTCCCACAAAATCACCCTAGAGGAGATATGGGATAGCATAGCTACCTTCTCCTGTGGTATTTTCCTCTGATTTAGGGTGTCCACAGACACAGGTGCCAGCTGCTTGGCTGGCTTCATTACCAGTGGGCAGAGCAGCTTCTAGATTAAGTTATTTCACTGCTCCTCACTACTGGAGTATCTGTCAAAAGGCCTGTTCCAGACCCCTTACCAAGGGCCTGTGCCACTGCTGTCCCTCAGAGGAGCACACCACGTGGAGACGGTCGTCATTGTAATTCTGGGAGCGTGCAGGTGCCCACTGAGCTGGATGCTGTACAAACACAGCATCCAAATACAAATACATGAGGCTCCATCTAAAGAATTTATAACCTGTGAGCTAGGTTATAGCACTGCCTTCTCAACAGAGGTTTTCCATATAGGAGGGATGGGTCATTAGGAAACCTTTCCCCTCTCTCCCAGTAACTGTGGAATCAGACTGAGCGTCCCATTTTCCAGAACCCCAGCCCAGCATATTTCAAAAGGGGATTATTAGCGGCAAACTCATCATTTCTTGAAGGCTTTGTGTGCCTGAAGACCTTTCAGAGGGATGGGAACATCGCTGTGCTGAACTGTGCTTGCACTGCAGAGCATAGACACTCCCTGACCTGCAGTATTACAGACTTGAGATGCAAGCAGAGAACAAAGAAAAGGTTGAATGAGGGGGATGCATCATCCTCTGCAGCTTTGGCTCTTAGTTTTAAGGTCCCTTAGAGGCATAGTTTGTAGTTTATCAGCTCTCCTCACTCCATGGTGCCAGCCTTTGTTGTTGAGTTTGAGTCCCCATTAGTTCTAAGCATCTTCCAACTAATAAATTCTGCCTGTGAGCATGAAATTATTTTGCTCTTGCTATACATTTGTCACCCCAAACAGAAGCTCAGAGTGCCCCATTCCCATTTATGACAACACTGTAAAATGGCACAAACATTTACCTCTTTAGCACTGTCTTGTCAGGTAACAGGCATTCTCATAATGAGAAAGGAGCACCCCTACGGCTGTCCAGCACATGCTGCTGCTTCCCATCTTCCCATGCCTCTGGGAAGGCACTGCAGCCTTAGCTATACTTTGGGCTCACCAATACCACTGCCTGAGTTGGGAAATGGATCCACACTGTGTTCTGTTCACATTTTTCCCACCTTAATTTGTCTTCATTTTTTGGCTGTATTGCTCAAACACTTGGTTTCTGGTTGCACTGTAGTGCAGCAGCTTTCAGTCTTCTCTGGCTTGATCACAGTTTGTTGGGTGAAGAAAGACTGACAGGTGAAACACTAACGTTTATTAGCACAAGTTGTTGTCTCCCAACAATCTCTTTCCCTATGGAAACATTTTGGAGTACTCTGCCTCTGTGCTGTAGATACTCTGTGTCTCTAAAGCTGGGCATTGCAAACCGGGGGAAGTTGTGCACCACTTATTTTAAAGCCAGCATGCTCTATGGCTCTTCTTTCCCTGACCAGTGCCTTATGTAGAGATGGTTAATGAGTCAATCAAGCAACAGCTGTACATAGAAACTGTGTGAAAACAATAGTAAATATATCTGTGGAGAATTCAAAGTTTCTTTGGTATTTGCCTCCCATACAACTCAGACTTCTTGAAATTCCATATGAAAAAAGAGGCAGCATCCTGGTGGTTAGAGTACTTTACTTGGCTACAGTGTAATGAGGTTCACATTCCTTTTCTACCCAGTTTCTTGCAGGAGATACCTGCCTGTTGCACATCATAGGATGTGAACTAGTAAACTTTCAACTTGCCTAAGGATCAGCCTTTTTCTAGCTTTGTTCTAATGATCATATATATAACCGTAAAAATAGAAAGATTCTGACAGGAGTAGCTGAGACTTTGTTTTCTAACAAAAAAAATTGTCAAAGAACTTGGTCAAATATAAATAAAGAGAATTAGTAAAGTAGTTTTACAGGAGAAGGAGAAGTAGCACAGTATCTCAGACTTTGTGAAAAACTTAATTTGAATAAAAACGTCTCAAAGCATATGGAATTAGCAGGTTCATTTTCACACATCGCCTATAAATGATACCATCTTCTCCCCTTATTTCAGGTTTATAAATAGTTTTGGACAGTTTTGTCTCTGTAAGTATCTTAGTATATAGGCAAAGCAACATATGTCGTGCAGTTTTGCCTTTGTAAATATAGCTTATTCCAGCATCCCAAGCAAGATAATTTGTAGGGACAAAGCCACGTTTTTCCATGGACAGTTGAGACTCATGCCATGTAGTCACAGCTGTGTTGGTTGCAAGCACACTACTGCAAAATCTGTGCTGCAGACATGGCTTCAGGTGTGCCTTTCACACTGTTTCCCCATTATTTGGCTTATATGAAGTAAAAGGTTTTAAAACAGGTGTTTGGGTTTTTTTTTTTCGAGGGTAGTAAAACACTGGGAGAGGTTACCCAGAGAGGTGTTTCCGTCTCTGGAAACATTCAAGGTGAGGTTGGACAGGGCTTTAGGCAACCTGATCTAGTTCAAGGTGTCCCTGCTCATTTCAGGGGAGTTGGACTAGATGACCCTTAAAGGTGCCTTTCAACCCAAACCATCGTAAGATTTTACAAAAAGAGAAAGTAGATCTTTTATCAAAAAAAGAAACAGCTACTTGGGGGGGAAAAAGAACCCAACTTATTTGAGATACCTGCATGGGTTTGTTTTCTCTGAGACCCACGCTGCACTGTTACTTAATGGAGCATGTTTGACTGTGGAGGTGCAGGAGGGATGCATTGCAAGAGGGCTGGGGAATACCCTCACAGTCAGTGTCTTTCTCCCCCAGGAGTACGAGTTCACGGTGCTGCCCAACGCCTACATGATCCACATGCCGCACGCCCCCAGCTTCGACATCACCAAGTTTCGCTCCAACAAGCAATACCGCATCTGTCTCAAGACCCTGAAGGAGGAGTTCCAGCAGGACATGTCGCGCCACTACGGCTTTGCAGCCCTGAAATATCTCACGGCAGAGAACAACAGCTAGCACCACAGAGCCCGTGTACGGGAAACAGGGACACCGGAGGGAAGAGCCACTCAGCGCGTGGGGCCCAGTCATCAAATTCTGAACTGAGAAATACTTTCTGTTTTTATATCATTCTTGGCAGTTCTAACAGTAGAAATTTGAAGTGACATGTCTTCAGACTGTGCTCATTCGTCCCTTCCCCGACTACCCCAGGCCTTTTGGGCTTTAGCATTCATGAGGTGTCTGCGAGTGGAGCCAGCCAGGCGCCCTCCATGCCATTGAAGGTGGGGACTGGGCAGGGACTGGGAATGCACTCTGCTCTCTTAACTGCAGAGCAAAGACAGACCTTCAGAATATAGGATTTCATGTTGCTATTTAATAATTTGACATGCTTTTTATCTGTAAAGGAAGATCTTCGGGTCGCTGTCCTGTGAATTTCAAATCTGCACTACTCTAAAAGGGAACTTTCACCTGTGAACTTTCACAGGGGCCCTGTTAACATGGATGACCTTGCTAATGCAGGATGAGCCAAAGGTCTGAATTAGCCTTGAAAACACAGGGGACGCTTATACAATACTGCATTCCCGAGAAGGTGTGTTACTGGTTTAGGTGTATAAATGATATTGGTTGGTCTTTTATTCTCAAATTAGTTGTTTTATCAGGAAAATCCCCTATACCCCACCCTGCCTTTGTCCCAGTCCTAAATGCTGCTCCTTTCCTTGCCAAGGAAATGTCTCCCTTGTGTTTCTTTCCCATCTTCAATTTCGGTCGTCCAGTAAAGAAGATCAGTAGCTCTCCTAGAAAGTGAACAAAACTCGTCACTGTAAGGTCTGTTTTCACCTGAGCAACTTGTTCATGTGTGTCTACTAAGATAAAGGGTCTGGCTCTAACTCTTTATCTTTTTTAGGCAAGAATTGGATTTTACCTTTAAGGCACATTGTACCAGGGGAATATTGATTTGTAGGCTCATTTCAGTGCTACCCATCCGTGAAGGCTCTGGGCCTTAGGCTTTAAGTGGACTTCTTTGCTGAACAGGGAATATAAACTATTAAAAAGGCAACTAGTAGCCTTGGTGCTCTCCTGCTGCCTGCTGCAAGGTCTCAGAACTACTTCGTTAAAGGAGTTTATAATTAAAAGGAGCAGAACTGTTAGGAATAAACTCCCCATTCGAGGGGGAGAAAAGAATCTGTTGGGAATCTGAGTGAGTGTTTGCTTGAACGTGAACTGGTCAAGTTCACACCATCAGTACACACAGGAGTATGCTGGAGGGCGAACAGGAAACCTAACAAGCAAAATGCAGAAAACAAGACACTGGACTTTTTGCCATTTTCTTTATCTTCAGTATTAATGTTGTGTTTACATGGGATGAAGAGATGAGGTTTAATGCACTACCCCTTGCAGGGCTATTTGTAATTTTTGTTGCAATGTTAATAGAGAAAGCAGAAACAACTCAGTGAGAAATGTGTCTTGTCTCCCTACCCCAGATTCCCATACAGCCACACATACCAATACTACTGCCTGAGTTGGAAAATGAATCCACATTGCGTTCTGCTCATGTATTTTCCATTTTGTTTTTCAGCCACTGGACCTTCTACCTTCCTCCCCACCTCATCCCTCTAGAGCTTGGTTTTATTTCTAACCTGACATTTTGTGAGAGCTTTCTGTTACGGTGGAAGCCACGCAGTTTAAACCAGACATTTAAACTACAAATACCAGTTCATCATTCTGTGTATATATAAGAAAATCCAAAAAGGCAACATCTTTGAGAAGAAATAAAAAGGGGCGGGAGGCTACGTGTAGTTTTCACTTTTTCTCCTGGGAGTGTTGGCTGCGTAAGAATATATCACTGCATAATTTTCCAAAGAGCTTTTTTTTTTCTCTTCTTAATAGCTTCATGTAAAGATTTACATAAAAAGCTAGAAAGAGCGGGGAAGAAGTGAGTGCTCAGTTCTGGCTAAGATATATTCTTTTTAAAAAAACTGAAATCTTAGCTCCCCAGATCCCTTATTACTCACCATTAAGGGCCCATGTCACTGTGCTTATTGAGAATGAGAAGAACCCTGCAGCACAGAGTCCTTTTGATAAGCTAATGTGCAGAAAGATACCAAAAGCTGACCTAAGAGAGTCTAACACTGGTTGTACCTGCATAAAATCTCCAATCAGAGCTTCAGTGTGGCCGCCATTATGTTTCATGTGTATTAAAAACTTTCATTGCCAGATGTACGTTTCTCCTTGCCTAAGGATGGACTGGATTGCCCTGCAGCAGCACAGCCTGTAGCATGGACCTGTATATTATTTGGATGTACCATTATCAGCATTCTTCTCATTGTTCTCTTCTCACTGGTCATGTGATGAGGATGGGGAGAACAGGGAGGTAATAATTTGCTACTTGTCTGACTTTACAGTGAGTTGTGGGACCTCCGGGGTAGGCTTAGGTGTCCTGGCTGGTGTAACCAGCTCTAAGATTGGTAGTAGGTACAAAGAGTCCCTTTTTTTTCCTTACAGACACTGTACTGATTTGTATCTGTCACTGTCATGTTTGTGCTCATAATTTGAGAGGTGTAGGGATTAGGGTTTTTTTAGCACATTTCATCCAATTTACCTAATAGCAAGTTAGGATTACATGTCTGACTCTAACTGCTAGGGCTCCTCCAACACCATGAAAGAAAACAATACTGACAACAACAAAAATACCCAACTCAGTTATAACTGAGTGTCTTCCAGTCCTCTGCTGTAGTATTTGTTAGCAACTTTGTGACTTAATTATCAGTTTTCTCCTGAAATCTTCAAGAAATAGCAGAAAAACCTGGTGACTCAATACCTTTGTTTTATTGCTTTGTTCCACCAACTTCTCTCTTGTCTTCAGTCTATGACTTCTCCCCTATCTCTGATATTTGGAAAGTGTGAGTCTCTCATTTAGATATCACTCCAGCACCCTCTCAGTGAAGACTGATGCAAATAAATCATTTAGATTCTTGGCATTGTCCTTATTGTCTTTAATTGTTTCTTCTACTTATTGTTTGGGGTGGCCTACTGGATATCTCCACTTCTCTGCTTTTGTGTACTGAGCAAATGTGCATTTCAGCTTTAACTTCCTACTGTTTGCTCTTCAGACTCCCTCTTAGCTTCCTCAAACTCTGTCTTAACTATTACATATCTTCCTTTCAGCTTTAGAATGTTTTATTTCCATTCTCTGAAGGTTTTCTATTTGGCCCAAATAACTTCTAAAATTTCCAATTGAGTTATATCATTGTCTTCCAATCCTTGTCTTCCATTCATCTAAGGGATATAATACTACATGGTTATTTATAAGGCCCTTTCCGCTTTTAACGTGAGGATTTCAGTTTTTCTGTTCTTTTTAATTAGGGTCACCGATTCTTCCTTTAAAAAGGTAAAGAGGGCTTTGTTCTTAAATTTATATTGAATTTCACCATACTAGGTTTTGAGAGTTTGTATTTTCCTCTTTAACCTTTCTAAATGCTAACCTTTTCCCAATCAAGGAGTCAGAAATAAAATCTTACAAAAGTCTTTTGTTCCTCTAATTTGGGCTCTTATCTTGACATGTTTTGTTCCGTGTCTCCCTTTTCCCTCTCCAATACAAAACAGTGGCACACAGGAGTCACTGGAAACTTTTCAAGTCCCAAAACCTGAACTGTGTATTTTCCAGCATCTTTTGACATCCCACCACATTTCAGGCTTCATTGTTATTCCAAATAATAGTCTGCTGCCTCGCACGCAGTCCTCCTGTTTTTGTTTTCATGCTTCTCCCTTTGATATAACAGGCTTTACAAGTTTAAGTCTTGGGCAAAGCACTTATTTAATACCTTATTGTAAGGCTCTAATGTGTTTCCATGATTTTTCTCTGTTGTCACAGTGTATATATATATATATATATATATATATATATACACACCTTCAAAAGTTTGGCTGTAGTTTCCATCCTATCAATTTCTACCTAAGGTTCATCTACCTGGCAGACCTAGAAAATATCATTGTTTATCCTGGGTAGTCCTTAATACCTGTCTGATTTTTATTTCCAAATCTTTACTTTTAGTAATTCCTTCCAGGCTTGCTAGTTTCCTATGCAAGCAATCTGGTTCCACTTCACAATTTTCATTTTTTTTTCCCATTTGTAATCATCGTCTTGGACTCTGTGACAGAAAGGATTTAGCAGCTGTACCTGCAGTTCCATCACTTTTGTTAGACTGAATATGACATATGCTCACTAAAGTACTGGTAGGCTTCATGTTGTTTATTGGTAAATCATAAACTGCATTTTTCTTTTACTGCAACAAGCAGAGACACTTCACAGGGTTATTTGCAGTAGCTGTTGCAGTAGAGTAAGCTCTGTGTTAGAGGGAGAAGCACAAAAACCTTGTCAGGATTGTAGCTCCTGTTTCTCTCCGCAGGGGAAAATAAGGCCCTAGCACAGCTGAACAGTTTTATAAATGCCCTGCACAAAGCACATTGCACATCATTTTCTGGTAGGTGTAATCGTACATCGTCCAATTAAATATGAAAAATACATTTTTAATGTTCTCATTTTTATGTGCAATTCTATCCAGAAGATAATGCATTTCCTTCTCTATCTTGCCAGTTTCTCCCATTACTCCAGCCTGCCTAATAGCCCCATCTGTTTTCAGCTGAGAAAGATTAATGACCAGAAGCACTGGGAGTCCTGGCAAATCAGCAGAGATATTACTCTTAGACATTGCTCAGGATGTTCCTTCCTACTCTGCCAGATACTGTATGGGTGTTCCTCAGGTTTCAGGGCAGCAACAGCAGAACACAGCAAGCTCAGCAAGTGGGGTGAGTGTCATTCTTTATGAACTTCAGCCAGGTCTAATACATTTGATGGTGGGAGTGTTAAAAAGAGAATGTATCACTGTTAGCTCAAAAAATATTTCAATTTTATTTTAAAAAAAGCATCTAAGTTTCTGCAACCACAGTGAGTGAGACTGGAACAAATGAGTCGCTGGTAGACAATGCCAGCCAATAATCTAGTATTTCCACTGCAGAATTGAAAAGGCAGAAGCATTGATAGCTAAATGAAGTAATTTCTACACTAGTAATTCATAACGTATATTTAGATGGTGTGTTTACATCCAAACACTTCAGGGAATTGGGGATTATTTGAAGGTTGCTACTTTGTTTCACAATATAAAACTGCTTAGAAAAACTTCTGGCTGTGAACAGCAAATTATGGCTCTGGAAATGCTTGCAAATCTGGGTTTAGAAATACCTTGCTTCTGTAGGAATTTGTTTTCATCAGTACATTCCCAAAACAAAACAAAAAGTCCTTGAGAATTTCAAAAGGAGCTATGTATGCATCAGGTGGCTGGAACGTTTTTCTCTTACCACTACTTGGGATTTGGGGTTTGATTACTCTACCGAGCAGAATTATTATGATGAGTTGAAAAAATAATCTGGGAATTAGAAAGCCAGGTAAATACTTATTTGTGTTGTCAATCATATGAACGTATTTGTTCAGACACCTTAGTGGATACTCTAGTGGAAGTGTTAGCTCATTGAGGGTGTCAGGATGCAAAAGATCTTAAGCCCAGGGTAAGAGTTTAGTATCCATTCAATCATTCTGTATAGTTTCCTCTCATGTAGTGAGAACAGCTTCCTTGCTCCCAGCAAATTACTGTTTTTTTAGGGTTAAAATGTCCTAAAATTCTGCAGTATGGATCTGTGGAAGTCACTGTGCTGGTAGCAAAGGCTGCATTTGAGAGCTCCATGGTCCATTGCCATGAGACACAAGATTTCGTTTCAAAAGAAATAGTTCTGATCTGGGGGTAATTCTCTGACAAGGGATTTAGACACCCTACCCCCACCACATATATTCAAGAAGTCCCCAAACACATAAGACCAAGTCAAACTAAGCCTGTTTCTCAGTATTACAGCAACATAATTCTCAGCCAACTGGATGTGTGAATTTTCAACATTAGCCATTGTATCACAAGACTCATGCAAAGGCTGCAGAGTCAATCATGTGGAAGTTGCCGGATCTGAAATTTCAAGTTGCTGGTGGACCTAGTGACTTGCTCATACAACTTCTTTCTGTCCCCTGGCACATATGTAGTAGGACATGGTCTGCACAATTATTTTCTCAAGGTTTTTTTAGAGGACTTCTCTTTCATTCTGTGCTCAGAGAGGATGATATTCAGATGAATGAAGCAGCTAGGTGATACTTCTTTTTACTTTTGCTTTCACTGAGCTTTTCATAATACGATAGCAGCCTTGATTCTGAGCAAAGCGAGACTTTTTGTTTCAGAGGATAGGTATAAACTGTGGTTTAGGAAAATCAGTTATCCCCCATGCTCTCAGACTTTCTAAGCAGAACACCTGCAGTTCTGTTCTACAAGCTTTTCTTATTTGGAGGGATCCTGTGGAGCTGATGGAAATTATATATTCAGAGGCCTTGTAGCACTCACCCCCATCTTATGAATGATAACATCTGAACTTGCAAAGGTGATGAATCCCAGCTCTGTCCAAGCATGTCTGGGAGCACTCTAAAGGTTATCAGCAGTCTTGTCAGGTAAGCACTGAAAAATGGAGTGAATAATTGGGAGTATGAGGGGTTTGTTTTAAGTAGCCATATTTCCAGAGGGATGAGGAAGACATAAGCATTCTGAAGTCCCTCAGAAGATCTGTTCATAGGATCTGTGGGTTGGACTAAGCTCATTCTGGATTTGAGGCATTTCTTATCCAACACTGGCCAGTGTGGCCCACCTGCAGTAAATTCTGTGGATTGTAAAATTTGTGAAAGTCAGCACTGAGATTAAACCATTCTCAGCTCAAAGGTGTTGAATTTGTTTCATTTCTTTGGATTCCCATACTTGTCTTTTGGTGCTCATAGGAAAAAGATAGTAGCAAAGGTAACAGTAGAGGTCTGACTACCCAAACTTTCTTAAATTGTCAACACTGAGGTCAGTGGTTGAGGCAAAAGCTAGAGTTAGTGAGGCTCTTGAATTTCTCCTTTTGATCTGCCTGTGGAACTGTTGTTCCAGCAGTGCTCTCCAGTGATGCTATAAGGAAAGGAAAAGCTTTCCAATGTGGATTGATCCACGAGCTCTTCATCCAGTCAGAGCTAACCACCAGCAGCAGGAAAGAAGCAGCACCACTGTCTGCTTCTGAGGTTTTTTTCAGAAGGCAATAGTGAGTTCAGTCTGAGATCTATTATTCTGATGATAAACTTTGCTGAACTTTTCTGCATTTTAGATGTATACTTGCTGTGAGTGACAGAGGCTCCTTGGGGTTAGGAAAAGATGGGACTCAGCAGTTTGCTGGTTCAGAATGAGAACAAGAGATGTGTGTATTCTCCCTTGACACCTTGCACAGTGCTCACTAATTATATTGGCACCAATTAATCCAGCTGACCCGAGACTCAGTGTTTGGGCTGGGCTGTAAGCTTCTGCTGTCTGTGTTGATAAGAGAGCAGGCAGATAAGCAAAATTATGTTTTCAGTCCATTACATCAGTGAATATTTCTATATGGGTTCAAATGGCTCATGGAAAGTTTACATCTTATGTTTTTCACCGTTAAGGTTTATTCAAAGAACAGCAAAGTCAATTAAAAAAATAAAAACAATCAAAAAACCAATCAAACAAAAAAACCCTATGAGTTCTGTGAGGACCCACAAGGATTAGCATTCACAGAGGGTCACCACTACAAAATATATTCCAAGTTCACCTGTCAGCTTTTGTCATGAATGCAGAAAATAGAGGCACCATCATCTTCTTTCTGCTTATTCTTCATAGAGCAAAACAAATGCATGTACTACAAACAACTCTCTGAATTAGATCACCCAAGACACAAATAGTTTCTGTTTTGTTGCTTTCATTTCCATTTTCATATGCGAAATTAAAAGTTTGCAAAAACTTTTTTATTCATATATTGTTCAATTTAAATATTTATATTCACTGTTGAATATGAGTCAGCAGTGCCCTGGCAGCCAGGAGGCACAGCTTTGTCCAGGGGGGCTTCAAGCAAAGCGTCACCAGCCGGTCGAGGGAGGGAATCGTCCCACTCTGCTCTGCACTGGGGCGGCCTCACCTTGAATGTTCTGTAAAGTTTTGGGTGCAACAATATAAGAAGGACCTAAAGCCGTTAGACGGTGTCCACAAAGATTCTGAAGGGTCTGCAGGGGAAGCCATACAAGTGGTGGCTGTATGGCTGGAGAAGAAAAAGCTTGAGGGGAGACCTCACAGCAGCCCACAGCTTCCTAACAAGGGGAAGCAGAGGAGCAGGCACCAATCTCTTATCTCTGGTGACCAGTGACGGAACCCAAGAGAATGGCATGAAGCTGGCTTAGGTTGGTTATTAGGAAAAGGTTCTTCAGCCAGAAGGTGGTTAGGCACTGGAACAGGCTCCTCAGAGAGCACCGAACCTGACAGAGTTCAGGAAATGTTTGGACAACGCTCTCAGGCTCATGGTGTCATTCTTGGGGCTGCTCTGGGCAGGGCCAGGAGTTGGACTTTGGGATCCTTATGAGTCCCTTCTAAGTCAAGATATTCTATTATTCTATTTATTTTCTTACTATGTTACAGCTTTCTTCTGCATCTCTCAAGCTTGAAAACTTTACAGCATTGTCTGTGGTGAAGATAGAATTGAGGGATTGCTGAGATGTCCTCAGCACCATGTTAGTGCAGAAACAGCATTTCCTGTAGCCTGGGGGATTTTTCTTTCTTTGTGCTATCACAGATTTTATTTTTGTCTTAGCAGTGTCTCTTCCAGTAAGTATGAAATTCTACTGGCTTATTCTAGACCACTGCATGAGTTCATTACTAGAGCAGTGTTTCTGGCATCACACCTGGGCCTCCACACAAATTTATTCTGCAGGAGTTTTTTCAATTTTAATCTTCAAGCCTACACCTGAGAGAAAATTAACCACTTTGAAGCTCTAAGAATGGGTTCACTATGTTTTGTTTTATTTTTGACATATTTTGGTCAGACTGTTGTCCACTACACCAATAGGTCTTTGAAGAAAATATCATTTTGAGAGGAAGAGAGTCATTCTGAACAGTCCAGTGGGGCTTAAATCAGCAGCATTTATGAGGGTAAGTAACCTTCTCAAGCCAGAAATTTTAGCAGAGGTTTCTACTATGTAATGATTTCCTGCTGTTTCTGTAAGGCTCCATTCCATGATCCTTCTTCAGCCAACCCATTCTTGGGTTTTCCACTTTTTCTCCACATTCCTGCCTACTACACCCCTAAATCCATGTTTATATCAGCCTTAGGTAGGTGTTGACACGTATTTTAAAGACAATATAGACAGCTTTCACAGTGCTGAGATCTGATTATAAGTGTTACATAGAAAACAGACTCTCTTAAACCAACAAGAACATGTTTAAAAAATAAGACAAAAATCAAACAAACAAAAAACCAACCAACAAACCAAACAAACAAAACACTTAGGCTTCTGGGAGAGAGAGATGAGAGACTTAGGCCCTTAATACTATTAATGCCAAAGCAAGATCAGGGTTGCTTAGGTCCTGACACATTACTGAGAGTTGGTAGCCATGCACAACATGACAGTGGTTATTACTTGTGGCTCCAGAAGAAAGACTTCAGAAGACTTGGCAGAGATCATTTAGTCTGAACCATTGGTTTCACTTTTCCTGTCCAAAAAGCATTTAGATAGTCCAATGCAGAAAGCATTTGGATTGCCTTTCACAAAGCTGTCTCCCAGTAGAATGGTTCCAAAGCATGGACAGGCACTAACCAAATCTATAAACACTCCTTTTCTTTCCAAACACTCTACAGGTCATGTTGGCATCACTTACTCCATTTCTCCTCCCTACTGCAGAGTACCTGAAGAAAGGTAGCACCAAAGTGATTTAAGTACCAAGTGTACCTTGCAATGCTAGAATCCTTAGGTTTTTAGGTGCACAACTGGAACCATTCATGCCCAGATTAAGCCCATACAACGTGGCAGATATCTGAGACCCGCGGTGTGGGAGTTTTTCTTAGAGTCATAGAATCATTTAGGTTGGAAGAGACCTCTAAGATCATCAAGTCCAACCATAAACCTGACACTGCCAAGTCTGCCACTAAGCCATGTCCCTAAATGCCACATCTACACATCTTTTAAGTGCCTCCAGGGATGGTGACTCCACCACTTCCCTGGGGAGCCTGTTCCAGTGCCTGACAACCCTTTCAGACCCCTTCATTTCCTTTAATAGTCAGTGTAGTGAGAAGGACTTCTGAAGAGGGCATTTCAGTTCACTTGAGCCCCACATCACCCTTTGCTCTGTGACTATCAAAAAAGTTACAATGCTGATGGTCCCCATGCAAGGTGCCTCAGATGTGCACCTGCCCAAAGTAACACGGGATAAATCTGGGCCAGTTTGCAGGTGTCAAAATCCCCTGGAAAATAAGCAGTAAGTGCTACAAGCCTTATACTCAATATTAGCTGACAAAGTTGAGAACAACAATCTCTATGATGGAAAATGTGTGGGTGGATCAGCCATGGGAGGGGAGTGATTTGTGGACTCCAGAGACTGTGCTACACATTGTGACAGACAGCTTGTGCTAACATCCAGGTAAGCACTCATTTTCAGCACAAAGTTGTGAGCTTCATTATTGTAGTTAGAATATTACCCCTGTCATTGCTGTCCTGGTTGAGCAAAGTTTTGCACTGTATTATGCAGAGAGCAAGGACACCATTTTCAGTGTGTCAGCCAACAGATTTCCAAAAAGGCAGGTAAGAAAGCTGTGAGAATGAAGGGGTAAAATAACTCAACAATGGCTTTTCATGTGTTTTTGTTCTCAAGACTCAAACCTCGTTCCTTTTCTGTCATGACCAAGGTGATTCTACACTCTCCAGGGGAAAACTGGAATGTCATGACCTTTAGGGTGAACCAGGCATGAAACAAGATTAGTTATTTTCTCACAAGGTTTGTAGCACTGAAGGGTTTTGAATCTTCAACTCACCACCCTGTCAGTATATTACCTGGCTGGCTGCCCTTCTGCTTCAACTGATACAAAACTGTTTTGTTTCTCTCCCCAGCTTGAGGAAATATTTCAGGAAAGAAAAAAAAATAAAGTGTGTCTTCTTTCCTTCTGCTGCCCCATCTCCCAAGCACCTCCCCCTCCAGGGTCAGACTGAGGCAACTTGCATTTAACACAAAATACTTAATTTACAGATATGCTTCAGTCCGTGTGTAAGTTTTCTAGGTGAAAATTCTATCGGGGAAAATGCTGTTTAGATTGTGTGTGCAAAGTAAAAGGCTTGTAAATATTTGGAGAAAAAAAAAAAAAGGTTAATTTTGAATTGTGCAATAAAATTGTGAAATAATCCTCTCAATTCCTTTCCAGTGTCTGACTTGACACGTGCTGGTTTCAGGAGCATACCAGCTGTTGTTTCTTCAGACAGGATCAAAAAGAGAGAAGTCATGGGCTGTTTGGCTTTCATCTTTAAGCTTTTTATTGCTTTTAATTTTACCTTGTCATTCCCTTTAAACTGGTTTATTCCTCCAACCCTGGTTCAATCAGACACATGAGTACAAGGCTGTTCCCACTGAAGACAGGTGAGTCATCATCTCCTCAGAGTTAATCACATGTTTATCTGCTTTACTTGACCTTGACCTTCTTCCTGCTGTTGTCTTTCTGTAATCAAAGACAAGACCTTGGCAGATGGGGGCAGTTTATTCAGTTCATACATAAGTATGACAACAAGCAAATAAATAGTCTACAATGAATGACAGCTCACCACCACCATGGCAGCAAATCCATCCAACAGGTTAGTATTGTGAAAGCTTTGTCTGCTATGTGGCAGCATGGATTTTCCACTATATAGGAGTCCTTCTCATGATAATAGAAAAAAACTATGCAACACACAGAAACCTTCACTCTTCTATTACT